GCCCTGAAGCCTAAACCCTAAACCCTCAAGCCTAAACCCTACCTTAACCCCAAATAACCTACCCTTTTAAGACTTACATAAAGAAATCATATTAGGGAACCAGTAAAGTGAAGCTCTTGGTCTCCGGCACCCCGGAGGTCTTGAGTCCCAGAGGCGCCTGGGAGGGCCCGCTGCACGCGGGCCTCAGAGCACCGGACTCCCCAGGGCTCTTTCTTCAGAACGGGCCTGACTAGGGTTTAGGGTTTAGGGTTTCGGGATTGGGGATTAGGGTTTAGGGATTAATTAGGGTTTAGGGTTTTAGGTTCAGGGTTTAGGGTGTGTAGCAGTATGCGCGCGGTGGGTGCACCGCCACCCCAATTATTCTCAATTATGGTGTAGGGTCCACGCCCATGAGAACATGCTCTTGTCGAACTAGCCGACAGCGACTCACGAGAGTGGAGGTCATTGTGCAAAACGGTCCGGTCGGATGTAGGGGTGAAGGTAGAGGTGCGAGGCGCAGACAGATTCAGACAGGCCTGCCCACGAACAGCTCCAGGAAGAAAAGTCTTGACACTTCCGAAACTTTTATGTCCGGGTATCAATTTTCGAAGTGTTTCTCACAGCTAGTGGTGAGGGAGACTCAGGCGTTTGGCTAATAGATCCCTGCCCCTCACCTTTGCACTAGTGATCGACGATGCGTCTTCTGGCAGGACGTTGGATTTTGTAAAGATCTTGCTTGTTACGTAGGGTAGCTAGGACCTGCACCACATGCTTGAATTTGTGTTTCTCGCCGCATTGACTGCTGCTTGTTACCGGACCGATAACCAACTCCAACCGAAAGACAAGCAGCATGTAGGACTAACAACTGATAAGGCTGTTCAAACCCATATTATAGAATCGGACAACAAGACAAGCGCACACGCACCCGACATCTGACATCAACAATCGGTCGGGTGTACTGCACGTTCATATCAGAATGTTCATCGCTAATAAACGACCTCATCTTGTTTCATGTCCCTCTGCCTTCATGCATATCCCATTGCTCTTGTCTCGCGTTTTGGCAGGACGTTCGGTTGTATATGGTAAATTACCAACTGTTGTCTTAGTTCGTCCATGGTCATATCCTCTGGTTTTTTCATAGACATGTTGCTATGACTATGCTATATCTATCCACTGCTATGACATCTTTGTATACAAATATGTGTATATATATATAGAGAGAGAGAGAGATCTCCTTGTTGTCCTTATTCTGTTTGAGTCTAACTCCAAAAAGTACTTCTTCACAACTTCTCATCTTTTTGTAGGCAACAGGCCTTGTAATCTACCACTATGCAGCGAAGGTGAACCCTGATCCATGCACACGGAGCCCCACGTAGAGCTGCCAAGCTCCTTCGTCGTGTCCCAACCTGATCATGAATACCGAGTATCAACTTGCTATGAGTTTGCTGTGAAGTCGATACTGCCCAGGGTCACCAATCTCCCTTGGTAAAATTTCCGAATAAACTAAAAAAGCAGGTAGCCTCAACAAAGGACCCATGCGCAAAGGCTAGTGGAGTCTCCGCATGTCGCAGCCACGGGCGCAGGGGAAAGCTGCCCTTGTAAGATAGTTCTCTGAAAACAGGGGCTAAAACAGAAGGATCCTGGTGAGACCCCTCAATCAGCGGACCCCCATGGCCGAGAGTGCCAGAGTTGGTGGTCTGGCGTGTCTGACATAGAGGCCTTAATGAGTAGAACAAGGTCTTGGGGCCCCTTGTAATATAAGTATACTCAGGACCCCCCCCCAAAATATTGGTAATTATAAAGGCGCCAATACATAATATAAGTATAATAAGGAACCCCCCAAAAACTTATTGGCAATTACCAAGGCGCCAGTAGTACTCTGACACTCTCCGACATGCGGTGGCCTGCAGAGTGCTGCAGCCAGGCGGGCCAAGTCTGCAGGCTCAAACCTGGGCCACTCTTGCTTAAAGGATCATGGGACTTAGTAACTAGGGTTATAAATAAGGTAACTATACGTATAAGTACTTATCACCCTACAATTAGGGGACTTATAACCTTACTTACTAAGTCCCCTGATCCTCCAAGTGGAGGTTAGGACAGGAACTTGAGGGGATTACGGGCGCAGGGATTTGGCATTTGGGGGGTTTACGGCTTTGCCCGAGAAGCCCTACATCCTGGACCCGGCTTCACGGTTTTAGGGCTTGTTTGTAGTCTGCAGCGGACCAAGGCGAGTAGAACGCAAGACAATTGAAGTTTGATGCATACCCTGAATCCCGCATTGCGAAAACAAGCTTTTGCACTCTGCATGCGCGCATGCAACTCAAGCAAAGACCTGAAGAACTGAAGAAAAGCATTTACAAAAACAAAGGCTGCAAAGAACCGTCAACTCCGTCGAACTCACGAGAAACTGAGCAGGGTTTTAGGGTTTGAGAAAAATGGCCTTCATTATTAGAATAAGGTTTTGGTGCCCAGTGTACTACAGTTATAATAAGGAGCCACCACAATAGTGTTGGTAATGATTTAGGCCCCTACACGAAAACCCCTGTAATACCCGTTATAGTAGCCCTGATAGACCCCTTTAAAGTAACCCTTAAATCAATAAGGCCCCTTTGTAGGTACTGATTTAAGCCCCTACACTCAAAGGCCCCTGTGCTCCTGGCGCCTCGACTTGGGGCAAAGCTTGCGCCGCCAAGGCCTTCGGAAAGCTCCCAGGGTTATGATATAAGTCCTGCATTACCTTAACCCAAAGGCTTTAGGGTTAAGGGTTTAGATAATCTTCCCTTTAAGTACCAGCTAAAGTATGGTACTCTACCTACTTGTCGGGTATCATGGGGAACTAATGGTTAACCTCTTGGGTTATATACGGATCATATAGGGACTAGACTACCAAAAAAGGCTAAAGGTTACCTACTCTACTACTAGGTAACCCAAAGGGTCCAAAGTACCTGTATAGTAGAATATAGGGTCTTTTACATTAGAAATTACAACAATGACTTGGGGAAGTATCCCCCATAACAGTACCCAGGACCCTTTGGATAAGGACCCTGGACTATGGGAATTCTGGTTTTGTCTTTGTTATGCATAATGCACGGATTGTATCATCAACCGTAGGATGGCCATGCAGCGTCCTTTAAGGGTTATGCAAGGTCCCTTAGGAGCTCCTTTTAAAGGGTGGTACAAGGGGTTCCTTACGGTTTAGGGTTTAGGGTTTAGGGGGGGGTTCGTCCTGTAAGGGTAATACAAACTGGATACTTTCAGGGATCTCTCAGGGTTGAGGTTTTCATAGGGCTCCTCTGAGGGCTTCCGGAGGATCCATGAGGGTTAGGGTTCTGTCGGGTTTCTTTAGGGTTTCTTGAAAGGCTTCTTTAAGGATACTACGGTTGATGATATAAGTCCTGCATTACCCATGATAGGGAATATACCATAATTCGCATAGTTTAGGGTCCTTAAGGTCATGCAGGATTTATATCCCTAAACCGTAAACCCTAAACCCTATATAACCCCTTAACGGAAGCCCTTAAAGGTACCCTTATAGATCCCTTTCAAGGAACCGCAGGATTTATATCCGTAGGCGTCCTCAGGCGCCGGGAGTTAGGTTTTCTCCGGAGTCGCTGCCTGCAGCCCCAAGGCTTCCATTCTCTTTGAAGCTATTATGCTTGGAGGATCAGGGGACTTAGTGCGGGTTCTTAAAGGGCTCCTTAAAGGGATCTATAGGGTTCCCTTAAGGGATCTATAGGGTTTAGGGTTTACGGTACTACTTGGGGGATCAGGGGACATAGTAAGTAAGGTTATAAGTACCCTAATTTGGGGTTATAAGTATAGATCCCTTATTCATAACCGTAGTTACTAATTCCCATGGTCCTTTAAGTAGGGTCTATCCTGAACCCTAAACCCTACACCCTGGAGCCCTAAACCCTAAACCCTAGGACCCTAAACCCTCAACCCTAGGGCCTTCCTACTGGGCTCGTGGAAGTGTTTTGCATAACTACGTAGTTACTAAGTCCCATGGTCCTTTAAGTAGGGTTTATCCTGAAACACCCGATCTCCCAAACCCTACCATCACTAGTACCCTTATAGATCTGCTCAAAGGGACCCTTAAAGGTACTATGGGGTTCTAGAAAAGGGTCCCCTTTAAGGGTTCTAGAAAAGGGTCCCCTTGAAGGGTTCTATAAAAGGGTCCCCTTTAAGGGTTCTATAAAAGGGTCCCCTTGAAGGAACCCTGAACCTCCCTAAACCTGTGCCCACCTGCGTGGTTGCTCTTGGCAGCTTCCGTAGGCGCGCCAGCGACCAAGCCAAGCCTCCATCAGACTCGGAAACTGGGGTATGGGGTGTAGGGTTTAGGGATGTTTAGGGTTTAGGGATGTTGAGGGTGTAGGGTATAGGGTTTAGGGATGTTTACGACGTTTAGGGTTTAGGGTATAGTGGCTTAGGGGTTAAGGCGGTTAAGGTTTAGCTAGGGGTTTTAGGGCCTCGGGTTTGGGACAGCTTAGGGGTTGCCATAATGTGTTCCGGAAGAGTTCATGGAAGGGTTCTAGAATTCTAGCAGGACCACGTTAAGGGTCACTTCACGGGCTATCTGTAAGGCTTCTATCAGAATTCTCGGGTTGCTCTACGGGTTGTATACATCTAAGGACTACTATACGGAATTACATATACGGACTAACTAGCAGGGTTACCATAAATAAGTGTTTCCACAAAGTGGAACCATCTTCAAAGCGCGAGCAATTGCTTCTGCCGAGGCCACTGCCACTAAATGCGAGTGCTCTTCTTTATCGTAGAAGAAGTAGTAGTAGCTGTAGCTGTAGCAGCTGCAGCAGTAGCAGTAGCAGTAGCAGTAGCAGTAGCAGTAGCAGTAGCAGCAACAGCAGCAGCAGCAGCAGTCGGTCTAGCATCAGTGTGACAATGAATGAGTGGTACTTCGTCCATACGGATGTCCAGCCAGCTAGGGGTTTCTGGGGCACCAGCGCGAGAGGTCTGCTGGCTGGAGCCTTATCAAGCAGGAGAGAATCTTCACCTTGTCGTCACTTCGCTACAGCGACGGCTTCCCAAGGAGCCGGCTCCTCCGATATTCGGGCGGCATTCTCCCTGGGCACGGATTAGGGTCTAGGGTTTAGGATTTCCCTGACAGGACCGACGAAACTGCATGTCTTGCTTCTTTCCGGATGCATTTCTCTGAATCTTCCACTACTCGGGTAGAAGCATCGAGCACCACACTGGCACCCCTGCACATGGTCAGCTGCGAAGCCTGAGCGACATGACCAGGATTGAAGGAGAACAGCAGTCGCAATTCTTTTGCTTGGAGGATCAGGGGACTTTTAAGTAATTCTATAAGTACTCACATGGGGTTGTTAGTAGTTTAACATGTTTTAACCCTATAATTAATCGCTACCCTGTCCAAAGCCCAGCTACTAAGTCCCATGATCCTTTAAGTGCAAGCCATGAGCATGACAGAGGCTTGGTTGCCGACCCGTTTTGGGCACACGCAACTGTGCGAGCAGCCACAACACCTTGTTATGCCAGAGCGCTGTGAAGCAACATGGTATGAAGTGGACTTTGTCTGAGATCAGGCCGTGGATCAATGACGCGGGGGGGAGTGGGTGGGCTTTGATGGAAACGGTTGTGGAACAGTGCTGTTCGTGGAGGGTATGTGAAGACGGTGGCAGAATCTGTTGGATGTTTGAACGCAATATTGAAGGCTCTTGGCATGCGCGCTGAAATGTTGGATGCTGAATATTTGGGCGCTTGGGGGCAAGTAGTTGGCTGCTTGGAGGATCAGGAGACTTAGTAAATAAGGTTATAAGTCCCCTAACGGGGGTTATAAGTAGTTATAAGTATAGTTACCTTAATTATAACCTTAGTTACTAAGTCCCATGATCCTTTAAGGGGTTGAAGATCAGGAGATGAGGCTTCAACTGTCGGCAAATGTGGTGTGGAATTGGTGGCATGCTCGCTGGCAGGAGACTATTTGATGAATTGGGGGGGGGGCGTAGGATGAAGTTGTGTGCTGTTGGAGATAGTCATTGGAACAAGGTGGTGGAACATATGGCTTTGCAATGGTGTACATGTGCAATGCCATACACTCAAATGCGCAAAGCATCCTGGCACTTAAACGCTATACATAAAGCACAGCAACCACTACAACCCCTGAAAAGGCCCTTCTCAAACCCTGCACCTTCCATTCAGGAACACACCTTAAATCAAACGAGGGATTTAAGGCATATTCCTGAATGACTGGAGTGACTCGAGTTTTGGAAGGTCTGGGAACCCCAAACCTTAAAACCCTAAACCCCTAAACCCTAAACCATTCACCTAAAACCCTAAACCCTACAGTAAACCCCATAAAGTTGGAAATCTGATTAAGGCCAAATAGTGCTGGGATTCCTTATACACTGCTCTTGAGGATTGAGGCAATGGGGTTTCCAACTTTTGGGCTGTTACTGCAAACTAATCCCTAAACCCTAAAACCCCTATTCTCGGAGGCCTCAAAAGGTAGGTGGGATACTCCATGATATTCCCAAATGAGAGTCCTTATATAAGGGATCCTTGATCCTACCCACCTTCATCCCACCTTTTGAGGCCTCCGATATTCCGAGGGCAGCCTCCACCTGCTGGTGGCGGTCCCAATGCGCTGCTTCCAGGCTTTTCGACGTCCACAGCGCCGGCGCCTCAGTCAAAGGGGAAAAGGAGGGACCCTTAATGGGGACCCCTACCCTATAATGGGCTATATAATGGATATAGAATAGCTTTTTTCAGGGTATATACCTTGGGGTCCTTATAAAGGGTCCCGCCTTTTGCCCTTGGACTCAGGGTTTCAATAAATTGAGGGCCTAAGACTAGGGTTTAGGGTTTAGGATTCCAGTAACTATGTGGATCCAAAAGGGTTCTATACGGCATTCTTTTTGAGAGAGGGGTGGGGGGTGGGATTAAGGCAAGGGTTTGGGTCGTGGGGTTTCGCCTTGGGATTTGGGGCAGATGCTGTTCGAACCTGCTGGCATTTCAAGGTAAGATGTCGCTCAGTTTCATCGTCGCCATCACCTTCATCATCAGAATTGGAATTCTGCAGGCGTTGTCTTCGTCTGCCGGATCACGTGCAGCATCACCAGCAGCATGTATATACCGTCATCAACACTGTAATCGTCGCTATCGCCACTAATATCATAATCATGGTCAGAATCATCATCAGAATCATCATCATCATCATCATCATCATCATCATCGCCATTACCATCACCATCATCGAAATTATCAGCAACAACTAAAGCACCATCAACTGAGAAGGAATTCTGTGATGGCAAGGATGAGTAGGATGCAGAGAAACCCTGGGCCTTTACCAGGCGTTTCTCCTGTAAATCCCAATCTCTTGGGGTTGTAGGGCCCGGGTTTCGTAATCAGGTTCCTTTATTCGTTCTCTACTTGTCCCGTAACTGAAGGGTTTGGGGTTCAGAGTTTAGATGTATGACATCAGTACCTACTTGTCCAATATCCTGGGAAACTAAAACTTAGCCTTTTGGGAGTATATCGGGATCATAGCACCCCCAAAAAGCTTCAAGGTTACCTACTCTACTACCCGGGTTCTTGCACTAAAATCTGGACGGAACCCTGACTGCTGCTTTTCTGAGCGAAAATCATGGCGTTGCACGGAGTCAGCATGTCTGGTAGTCGTTCGCAGGTGGCCTGGCCAAGAAACATAGGATCTAGGGGTTACCTGGACCCTAAAGAACCTACCTTTCTAGGGCTCCCGATCCTGCCTTCTTTATATGAGTCCTGAAAAAGATAGGTTCTTTTGGGATCTAGGGTTTAGGCTTTAAGGATCTGCTTTCATATGGGAGTTTCCAAAAATTAAGGGTACCTTCTTTGGGGGTCCTTATAATAAGGATCCTACTATTTAGGGTACTATATTAGGGTCCCCTATTTTCGGGAACTCCCATATGTGTGAAAAAATATCGAAGGTTTCTCGGAATGGAAGCCGTTCTGGAAACACTTGCAGCCCCATGACTTCCTGAACCCTGAACCCTATGAAAACCTACAACCCCAAACCCTAAACCTGAAACCCTAGACCCTGAACCCTACACCCTAAAATTAAACTCCAAACCCTACACTTTAAACCCTAAACCCTACACCCTAAACCCTACACCGTAAACCCTACAATTAAACCCTAAACCCTGCACCGTAAACCCTAAAACTACACCCTAAACTAAACCCTAAACCCTAGACCCTAGACCCTACACTGAAAACCCTAAAATTAAACCCTAAACCCAAGACCCAAGACCCTACACCCTAAACCCTACAAGGATGGCCTCTGGCAAGAGCTCCGCCAGGCCCTGTGCCCAGCGCTCGTAGCGTTCCTCGGGCCCTGAGACCAGGAAGACCCCACACCTCCATCCTCGAACCCCGGAACGCTCAACCTTCCCAAAGGCCCCAAAGTAGTTCCTTTTTGGGGTTCATATATAGAACCCTATAAGGTAATCCCAAAAAGGAACTACTTTGGGGCCTTAGGGTTGTGAGTGACAAAAAAACACACACAAGGCGGCAGACCTAGCTCTGCGAACAAGGAGTTTGTTGGTTTTTGGTGCGCTGTTTGTCGTGCCCTGAGCCCGCACTTCGTAGGCGAGCTGACAAACTGAGCTGAACAGACGGCTCCCCAATCTCTGCGTCAACATTCAATGCACGCATCTGCAACCAATACCTTCTCTTGTCATAGGCCCTGGATAGTTTTCAATGCCTCGCCATGAGACGCGGGCGGCGAAAGGCTGGTACACGAACTTCTTTGACGAGTCTTCTGTGTTGTTGGCGGGGGGGACCCGCTTCTCTCCGGTGTGCCTTTGTCTGCCGCGTGTTTGCGGGTGGCTATGGTGTATATGTCTCGGCCTTACCACTGCCGTGTACTTGCCGTTGCCACGTCGAAATCGCAGCTGCCGGCATTCTTCCGCGAGTGTTTCCGCGATTTCAGGTTGCACAGTTCCCGTGTACCTGCACGCCTTTTTGCCTCTTTCTGATTGCAGAGATTGCTTCCTCTATCTGTTGTGTTGGCAGTAGGCCTTCGCAGCTTTCGTCTCAGGATGTCATCAAACATGGTGTGGGATCTCGAACCGCACTTTCCGAAGGATGTGACCGTACCGGGAGCCTGATGCGCCACACCGTAGCTGCTTTAAGACTTAAGCAGCCAACTAGCAAGAACCCCCTGGGGCCGAAAACCCGCGTTTACAGGGAACTCCAGAAAGTTGGAATATGGTTTCATGGTAGGCTAATACCCTATAATTTACCATAGCAGGGTTAGGATAATCATATTCCAACTTTCTGGCTTTTACCTTAAGGGCACAAAAAAATTATGGCAGACTGGCTGCTTGCTTCTGACAGGCTGAGGAGGCTCTTCGGCACTTCCGGCATCAGCGAGTCCGCGCGCTTCACGTCGATGCCGCGCAGGAGGCAGCAGGGGCAAAGGAGAATCGCGACGCACCTGGGCGCCAAAAAATTGGCCTATCTCCCAAAGGCTCCATCTACTGTTATAGTAGAAACTTAAGCCCCAAAGTAGTCCCTATGTGGGTACTTTAAGGCCTAAGTATATACTACGTGGGTACATGGGGCCTTAGGGTCTAAGTCTATGCCGTCACGCCACTTGCAACGTCGTTGTAGGTCTAGCTGAAGCTGTGCATAGCAGCAGAGCTTGACGCGACACATCCACCGATCAAACATTTCACGTTGTAGAGCTTTCCTTGAGCCCTCAACCGCAAAACCCGAAACCCCTAAAACCCTCAACCCTAAACCCCCCCAAACCGTAAACCAGGCTAAGCGCCTGAGCCCCTAAACCCTAAATCCCTAAGGCCTTAAAACCCCCAAATCCCTACAGTAGAAGCCAGAATGTTGGAATATCATTATCGTAAACCCTTTATGGTAATTATAGGGTATCCTACCCTGAAACCATATTCCAACTTTCTGGAGTTCCCTTTAAACCCCAAATCCCTAAGGCTCTAAACCCCAAAATCCCTGAACCCAGGACCAGTCGACCTTGAGCTCCGAACCTAAAAACCCTAAAAACCCTAAACTTTTAAAGGGACCCTTAAAGGTCCCTTTAAACCCGAAGGCTCCATGTACCCGCATAGTATATACTTAGGCCTTAAAGTACCCACATAGGGACTACTTTGGGGCTTAAGTTTCTACTATAACAGTACATGGAGCCTTTAGGAAAGGAGCCCCCTTAAGGAACCCTAAAAGTGTGGGAGAACTGGTCGCAGAGCTCCGAACTGAGGGAAGCGATTGTAGATCTGCGTGGCCACGACACTCAAGGCCTCAGTCTTCGTATCTTAAAGGAACCCTACCTTATAGTAGAAGCCAGAAAGTTCGAACATGGCTTTAGGAGGATCAGTGCTAGGATCCCTTATAGTTTACCTTAAGGGTGTGAGGAGAACTATGTTCCAACTTTCTGGCTTCTACTACAAAGGGTTGAGGGGTTGGGGGTTTAGGGTTTGGGGGTCTAGGGTTGAGGGTCAAAAGGGGCCTTGGTCTTCGTTTCACTGAGGAACCCTGAAACCCAAAAGGTCCAAAGTACCTGTGTAGTAGAATGTATAGGGTTTCTATATTAGGAATTACTAGTATGATTTGGGGAAGTATCCCCCATAACAGTACCTAGGCCCCTTTGGGCTCTTAAAGGAACCCGAATATTTATAGAATAGGGCTCCTTTAAGGGATCCTTTTCAAGGGGTCTATATATATAAGGGTTACAATAATACCTTAAAGGGTTTAGGGTTTAGGGGTTCTTCAAGTTCGAACCCTATCCCATAGGGTTTAGGGTTTGGGGGTGTAGGGTTCGGGCTTGAGGATGGCGGGGGGGCCTTGGGTTCAGGGTTTGGGGGGTTTAGGGTTTCAGGGTTTGGGGTTTGGGGCTTAGGGCTGGGGGTTTAGGGTTTTAGGGGTTGAGTTTAGACTTATACTACCATAACCGAAAAGTTTTGGAGGTTCTTTCGATAAATTCGACTAATATGGATTTTGTTCTGGGGGACCCTACGAAAAGTTGGCTTTGGTAGTTCAAGGTGATCCCTACACCCGCTTTAGGGTATCGTGCCCTACGGTTGATGATATGACATAAAAAGGAGTATGCCATAATTCCCCATAAGTTGGGGTCCTCAAGGTAATGCAGGTTTTATATCATCAACCGCAGCCCCTATAGAACCCTAATATCCTAAACCCTGCAGCACCTGAAACCAACGGGTCACAGCACTCAGCCTCCGACACCGCAGCAGTGCATCCCGAGGACGATGGCCGGCAGCGCAACATCCAGCAATGCCTTCTCCATAACGTCCAGGAAGCCTTCGAACATCTTCGGAACTTCGAAACATAGCTTCTTTCAAGTAAAGGTGCCTGTAAGTGTTGCTACAAGTGGAATTCTTTAGGAAGCCTTCGAACATGTTCGGAAAATGGGTTTAAGGTTTGGGGTTCACTCTCGTACTCCCCTGAACTCTAGGGTCCGAAATAACCAGAAAAGGATACTTGCGGAAACCATAATAGCAATTCCTCTTACAAAACCCTACCTTATTTAATTAGGACGTAGCATAAAAACAGTTCCTCTTACAAAAGCCCTCCTTTGTACATCTTTGCACATGTGCTGATACTTAGGACTTGGGACACTTTACAAATCGCAATCTCTCGGTTCCTAGACCTAAGAGTAACCTAGGCATAAAAAGGGTGCCCTTTTTGGTCTAAAGGGGCTTATAAGGGAACCTGAACCCTAAAAAAGGGAATAAGGGCCTACTGTGGGTCCTAGAAACCAACAGTTTTCAAACTATAGATCCCTTAAGGAACCCTATATGGATCCCTTTAAGGAGCCCTATATAGATCCTTAAACTCCCAGACCCCTTGGTTCTTTGTCAACTCAGTCAACTCGTCTTCCTCAGCTCGGCTCCACTCCCTCTCCTAGCTTCTTGAAACTCTCATCTTTCAGGCTTTCGGACTATAGAGATTAGGATACGTTTGGGGGTTTCGGGGTTTCGTGTTCAGGGTTGAAAAGTTTGAGGTGCTGTTGTATATGGCTTGCTGCTGCCACGGCCAACTCTACCACTACTCCTCTTTCTCCTCCTTCTCCTCCCTTCTTCTGCTTCTACGTCCCACTGCTGCCCCTTGCCCCTGACGAGCACTACAAGCTACTGCTGCAGTGTTGCTGCTGCAGTATGAAAACTCATGACATGATCTCGAACTCAAACTCCTTCCAGGTTCCGCGTTCGCACTATCTCGAAACGAAAGTGCCCCAGAGGGTCCAAGTACTCCTTACCATAGGACTTTGGGGCCTTTTTCGGTATCAAAACCCATAAATAGGGACTTGGATCCTTAGGGTGCTTCCTCCACAGAGGCATCCTTCTGGTCGTTACATAGTCTATGTGGAATCCAACACGGGGACTCATGCAAAGACAGGAGTAAAAGCCCAATGACATATAAATGTGCGCGGCAACTAGTACTAAGTATTCACACCTCTGATTTGTAATGTAGGGCCGAGACTTTAGGGTGAGGGGCTCAGAAAACCTCAACCCCAAGCCATAAACCCAACTCAAGTCCCAAATCCTGCATGATACCTATACGCCAACGGAGCCTGGACGTGTCATATCTTCGCAGAGATAGCGCACGTTGGCGATCCCAGCCTCTTTCTCTTGCTTACATAGGGATTCTTGTGCCTCAGGAAGGTTGAAGCATATTGACTCTGCTACGAAGATATCTAGGGTTTGGGTGTAAGGATTATAGAGTTTGGGGTTTGGAGCCACATTAGGGCGGAGCTCAAGGATTTGAGGAGTAAAGGATGGTTCCGTCCATGGTAGCTAGTATTCCAAGCCTGCATAATTAGAACAAGGATCTGGGAAATCTTACATGTTCTTCAGGCCTCTACCCAGAGGCTTTTTGTGGCTCATGAATCCTATAAGGTGCAGTAGAAGCTAGAAAGTTGGAACATCATTATCCTCGTACCCTTAAAATAAAGTGTAGGGAATTCCAGCACTAACCGTCCTAAATCCATGTTCCAACTTTCTGGGGTTCACTATATTCCCAAAAAGGAACTACTACTGCGCCGGTCCGAAAGTTTGTCGCACTCTCTGATGTCGACTTACAACATATATATTCAAGACCCCTTTTCCCCGTAGACTCCTCCAGAAGTCCTCCGCCGGGAACAATTATAGTACTATAATTTCATTCCCGGGTGATAATTCCTCCGCTAACCAGGCCAGGCTAGTCCTCACAGCCCGGACTCCGCGTACTCCGTTGAGTGTTGCTAACGGATGCGACGAAACTTTAGTACCGGGCATGCCTCGCCGTGACACTTTTTCTCAGCAAATGACACTATAATTTCATTCCCGGGTGATAATTCCTCCGCTAGCCAGGCCAGGCTATTCCTCACAGCCCGGACTCCGCGTACTCCGTTGAGTGTTGCTAACGGATGCGACGAAACTTTAGTACCGGGCATGCCTCGCCGTGACACTTTTTCTCAGCAAATGACACTGCCTCACCCCGACCTTAAAGCCACATGTCCTGGCTTGGTTGCAAGGATCAGCCATGATTCCAGAATCAGCGGGCAATTCGGGGCTTGCAGTCCAGCCTTATGGAAAGATAACAACATCCACTGCGACAAATACCTTTTGACTATTGCTCTGGATTCTGGCCCCCCGAAATGACGCTGCGCCGGTCCGAAAGTTTGTCGCACTCTCTGATGTCGACTTACAACATATATATTCAAGACCCCTTTTCCCCGTAGACTCCTCCAGAAGTCCTCCGCCGGGAACAATTATAGTACTATAATTTCATTCCCGGGTGATAATTCCTCCGCTAGCCAGGCCAGGCTAGTCCTCACAGCCCGGACTCCGCGTACTCCGTTGAGTGTTGCTAACGGATGCGACGAAACTTTAGTACCGGGCATGCCTCGCCGTGACACTTTTTCTCAGCAAATGACACTATAATTTCATTCCCGGGTGATAATTCCTCCGCTAGCCAGGCCAGGCTATTCCTCACAGCCCGGACTCCGCGTACTCCGTTGAGTGTTGCTAACGGATGCGACGAAACTTTAGTACCGGGCATGCCTCGCCGTGACACTTTTCTCAGCAAATGACACTGCCTCACCCCGACCTTAAAGCCACATGTCCTGGCTTGGTTGCAAGGATCAGCCATGATTCCAGAATCAGCGGGCAATTCGGGGCTTGCAGTCCAGCCTTATGGAAAGATAACAACATCCACTGCGACAAATACCTTTTGACTATTGCTCTGGATTCTGGCCCCCCGAAATGACGCTGCGCCGGTCCGAAAGTTTGTCGCACTCTCTGATGTCGACTTACAACATATATTTTCAAGACCCCTTTTCCCCGTAGACTCCTCCAGAAGTCCTCCGCCGGGAACAATTATAGTACTATAATTTCATTCCCGGGTGATAATTCCTCCGCTAGCCAGGCCAGGCTAGTCCTCACAGCCCGGACTCCGCGTACTCCGTTGAGTGTTGCTAACGGATGCGACGAAACTTTAGTACCGAGCATGTATGGAGCCTGTGGGAGCGTTAGTGTTGCGAAGCTGCATGCCGGCCTCGCGGAAGTGGGGAAGATGCTGGGGAGGGCGGATGTCCACAGCCGTCACCTCGGATCAGACGGACTACCCAGATCCTCTTTTAACTAGGGAATATGCCTTGAGTTATGGTAGATTCCGGAAATTGCCCTAAGTTATGGTAGGAGCCTTAATAAAAAAATGGAGGATCTACCTACGGCTCGTGCAGCTGTAAACAGAGGCTGTTTAGGGTTTTGGGCTGCTGTTCCTAAAGCAATGGCTGACGGACTGCACTGTTTGGTCCCATGCATGTCCTTTCCACAACATGCCAAAGAGCAGTGCTCTTTGGCGCCGACAGGGCCAGGAAGGTGGCAGTCATAGCGCTTCCGCAACAAAGGTCCACGAAGTGCAGAGCCTCCAACGACACAGCTGAAAAAACCCGAAGCTCAGCTCGACTGCTAGCCCGGTCAAGAGTCAGCGTTAAAGGGATATGTCATGATTCGATCTGGTCAAGATGCTACTACCAGTACTACCACCCCTACTACTACTACTACTGCTACTACTACTACTCCTGCTGCTACTACTACTATTATTACTACTACTACGACTACTACTATCGACTTCTACTACTACGACGACTACTACGACCCTCCAGCCCCTACACCCCGCTCCACAGCTGCTGTGCACCTCGTCGTCCCATTGCCGCCATTTTCTCAGTGAGCCCACGATCGCCATGGACTCAGAAACCTCCTCGGAGGTTCCGGCTTAGCTAGGCTTAGCTTTTAAGGGTTTAGGGGCGTAAGATAGCCGTTCGAACATAAGATCTTACCACAAACTGTGCATAACGAGATAGCGACCCTCCTTGGGACCAGGAAAGTCGGAGGTCTTCCAGTCTCGGCTTGGAGTGCGTAGGGGTGCGATGAGACATCCAACCACGGCATGATGGCATGACGACAAACCCAAAGGCTCCATGTACCTTTGTAGTAGATACTTCAGCCCCAAAGTAATTCCTATATAGGCACTTTAAGGCCTAAGTATATACTATATGGGCACATGGAGCCTCAGGGAAAAGCGGTTGGGATGACTGTTGGTCAACTGGTACTGCTATGAGATCTGCTGATTATCACTGTGGTTCATGCTGCCATCAATATAACTTCTGGTTAACCGCTGCCGGGCTAAACAGCGCATCTTTCGCAACCTTCATCAGGCATCTACATAGGAAGATTTCAAATTCAGGTTCCGCATAAGTATCTGTTTGAATAATGCACACCTTTGATTAACAAATGGGGTCGGGTTAATAAAATGATTATTCGAGCCGGTTCTGCCGGTTGCCTTCTAGGAAGACTACAAGCCTGCAACCGGGCCCCAGATGCCCAAACAACTGAATGGGGTTGCAATAAAAAAATAATTATTTCGGGCGACCCTTTTTTTGGGGGGGGGGCATTTCGAGCCTCTTGTATACCAATATAGTTGACACGGTTGCGAATCCGAAAGACACGAGTTGAGCACCCAGCAACACATAAAATCGCATGCTTATGCCCTGTCTGCAAGGACTCTTATGTTGCACCCTCTCTATCAAGCCCCCATGCTAAAACAACGACAACATGAAATCACCCCGCCTAGCGAAGCCCGCAACTAAAGATTCCACGCATAAATTCTACACGACCATGGGCAGAAACAACAACGTGGACAAAGAAATGCAAACAAACGATACCGGCCGGGCACTTCATGTTGCAGAGGGCCACCCGAAAAATCTAAAATCCAACACCGTAAAGTCCAAAGCCAAAACCCTAAACCCGAACCCCTCAATCCTAAACAGTCTCCTCACATTCATAGATGTATATTTGTACCTTCTTCACTTTTTGGAGAGTTACGCCCCCCCCACCCCCCAATGCTAAGAAATTTTAGTCCATTTTGGACCAATACTATGGATCCTTGGACCAATCTGTGACCAAGGCTATGGACGTTGTGGTAAAACTGGGACCAATGCTATGGACCTTTTGGTCAATGTGGCATAGCCCCTTAATAGTACAAGGATACCCTTTGTCGTACTATTCATGGTTTTGATAGGGAACCCCAAAAATTCTGAAGGCACTACTGACTGGTCGTTACATGAGCCTCGTTATTAGACCCTTACCAGGTCCCTAGTAGCGGTGTCAACGCCCCTAATTAACCCCGTCCTGCTTACCCTAAGAGTCCTTATGACTGAACGACAGTAAAACCTCAAATGCCAACACGACAACAGTAGTAATATAGCTGAACAAGAAAATATATCTAAAAAGGCAAAAGCAACAATGCTTGCAGACGAAGCTAAGCCCCAACACCTAAAACCCAAACCCTAAAACCCCAAAGCCCTCAGCGTTAAACCCTAAACCCCTGCAGGGGTTCAAACCATAAACCTATTACATAAACCCTAAACCCTACACCCCCAAACCCTAAACCCTGCACGCCCAAACCCTAAACCCCCAAACCCTGAACCCCCCAACCCCAAAAAACAAACTTCCGGCCTGACGGAAGTTGTGGCAGTTCGCCGCTCGATGCAGGGCGGTCTTTCAGCGACGATGCCAATCACAAGGAAAGGTTTTAGGGGTTTTTGGCCCTGCAAATGTTCCTTGGAGGGATCCATAAGGGTTCCGTTAAGGGATCTAGAATCTGGGGGTCTAAAAGGGCAGTGCAGGTGCATCAACTCACTCGCTGTGGTTGCCCAGCTTAGGCGCAGCCTGCGTGAAGGCCGCTGATGCCGGCTGATCCTTGCCAGTGCTGCAATGGCACTGGCACTTACATGCAGCTTCTGATAACGACGCGCTACATGCTCCAGTTGACACACTACAGATGCCTGCGTGCGACATGTCGCAACGAGCCATTTCTTGCATATGTACCACGTTTTGGAAAGTGCAGAAAAGCATTGCTGCATTTTTGAGGTCTCGTGTCTACAAACCTTAAAAAGTGAATGCTGTAGGTTTGCATCGGTATTCAACTCATGTTTCGTGACCCGTGGCTGATGAAGACAGAATCCGGGTTGCTGATTTTTGAACCAGTCTCACGCTAGTTACATTCCTGCAATCTCAAAACCGCATATGCTGCTCGAGGAAAGCAGATTCATCTGAGGACGGCCCCTGGGGGCATTAAACATAAACCATCCTATAATTGGTGGCACAAAATGGTCTCAAGAGAGCCTGCGGTTTTTTGGAAGCTCTTTCAAAGGCCTTCTCGTGCAATGTCGACATTGCTTCAAGGCTGGTAAAGTGTTGTTAAGGATTAATGCTTAACAATAAAGTAGTAGTAGTAGTAGTAGCAGCAGCAGCAGCAGTAGTAGTAGTAGTGGTAGTAGTAAGCACCCTCGACCAACTACACTTGCTATTAACCATCTTAAGACAACATCCGTTTTGCTCGGTATTTACCGCACTTTCGTCATGTGCGATCATCCTAAAAGGCCTCAAAATCGCCTTGTTGAGTTTGCAAACTCGGGCTCTTGATTTTGAACTTGCTTCTGGGGGTGGGTGGGGGGGTGGGGGGGTGGGGGGGTGAAGACGACGACAGTGTGTTACGCGAACACAGCCAGCAGTATCACCACAAGAGCCGTCTAACTAGGTATTTACGGTACTTTCGTGATGTCAGACTTTGTTACACATTCTGAGCCCCTACTTTTCGACCATGCGTAATAAACTTTACTGTTTCGAACTGTTTGCAAAAAAAACTCGAAATTGGATGGGGGAAAGCTTCTTCGGGGATGATCACGACACTGTTTTGCGGACACCCTGAGCAATATTTCCACACTGAAGCGCACACACACCACACAAACCACTTCAAAAACAGACCCTCCTACGCCGAGGTTGGGCGGTAGGGGTGTTGGCGAGCCCCTCTTCTGTACAGCTGGCATCTTTGCTTTTGATTTTCAAAAAAAGATGTTGCGCTTCAGGTTTTAGAAATGTTAAACCCTTCTTGGCAGCACCTGGGCTTTGCACGGTATTTACAGCGTTTTCGTACTATCCGACCACCTGCGGTTTAGCAATTTCTTCCCCGTCGAGCTTGCAACTGCAGCTGCTGTCGCAGTTTTGGGGCCTGAGCCCCTGCAACTTCACCGGCGGTGACAGGTAAGGAAACTGAGCCTCTGCAACTTCTGCAGCTGTCACAGATAGGGAGCCTGAGCACGTGCATTTTATGCAACTGTCGCAGTTATGGCGCCTAGCAGCTACCGCTGCCCAGCCCGGATGGAACAAGTGTAGTTGGGAGGGGGGCGGGGGTGGCTAGTAGTAGTAGTAGTAGTAGTAGTTGTAGTAGTAGTAGTAGTAGTAGGAACTAGTAGTCGTCGTAATCGTCGTAGTCGTCGTAGGAGTGGCAGTAGTGGTAGCAGCAGCGGCAGCAACAGTAGCAGCAGTCGTAGCGGTGTTAGAAACTGTCGGAGCAGCAGCATCAGCAGCACGTGCAGCACTCAGGAAGATGAGGAGGAGCAGCGGCAGCAGTCGTACTGGCGTTGGTGGTCGTCGTCGCCGTCGTTCCGTTTATGGTTGCCTGCTACTCTTACAGATTCCTCACGCTCAATTGTGACAGTGCTACGGCCGTGATTATTATTTGTGCTCGCCTCCACAACACACCCGCGCGTACTTTCGCATGATATTGAAACGACACTGGCCAATAATCTCGACTTTCATTCGTACATGTGACCTTCAGAAATGCTGCGGTCAATCCGGCAACACGTCATGCTGGGGATCTGTCTTGACAGAAACCGGTCAATGTGACAGTACTTCATTGTCGTTGTCTAATTTTTCGAGGAAACAATAACCGTAATGCAGGGGCCGGGAATGCGTGTAACCAACCAAGAACATACAGTTTATGTGAACATGGCAACTAGAAGCTAAGACATGGTTACGCAGAGTGTCGAATTTCAAGTTGTGGGCGATCGCGGAACGATGATTTATGATGCAACGGATTCCACCACCGTGTTACCTGGCCAAGAAGACTCCAGAGTCAGCACGAAGCATGATGTGTTTCAATCCTTCCAATCCACTAAACACTTATGTCATGGAACCACCCGGCCCGACAAAGCTGAGGGCAGCACCCTCAAACTACGGTTCATGAGTGTTCTAGCCGAATGCGATTCTTGACTGAGATCCCCCGAGGCCCCATAAGGGAGTTTCCGAAATAGGGGACCCTAATATAGTACCCTAAATAGTAGGATCCTGTTTATAAAGACCCCAAACTAGGCTACCCCTAATTTCAGCAACTCCCACAATCAGGAGAGGCATGACGCATCCAAGTCGCGCAATTGGGTGTGCATGGACAAACCCACCAGGAACGTGCGCTAAACCCCGAACTTTAAACCCTGAGCCCTAAACCCTCAACACCTAAATCCTTAGACCGCAATGAAATCTTAGAGATTCCTGAAAGGAACCCCTATAGATCCCCGAAAGGAATCCTGAACCGTGCCCTCGACAATAAGGGTTCTATAGGGTTCAGGATGTACAGAAATGGGTCGCCATGTTTCAAGGGTTTAGGGTTTAGGGTTTAGGGAACACTCAATTGGTTTAGGGTGTCAGGTTTTACAGGGTTTGTAGGGCCTTTCTGGACGCTGCAACGAGGAAACTGTAGCCGATTGCTGATTGCTATACTATACCAACCCTAGAACCATAAAAAAATAACTACCTTTAATAGTCTTTTGGGCTTTTTTGAACAAAAAATGGTACTAAGGAGACTCTAGCATAGGGCCTGAATGTTTGGAATATGGGGGTTTGGTCCGCTTCGGCCTTCAATAACAATGGGAGGCCCTAGTAAATACTATGGTTGATTTGTCCTGAAAATGCAAGGGCCTTAACGCTGTTGTAAATGGGTTTGGGGAATCGTTAAAGACATTATCTAGAGGCTACAAGGGGACATATTCAAATTGGTACTTAGCCACACCGCCGGGTTAGTGAGCCACTTACTGTCTGCGTGGTTGTCTTGAGTCCCGGGCGAAGAAGTTTCGCACCAGCGGGTTCGGTTCATCGCCCTTCTCGACACGTTCACCTCAGTAGTTCAGGGGTTAGGTTTCAGGTTTTGGGTACACGGCTGAAGTTTAGGGTAGAATATACGGTTTAGGATTTCGTGTTCAGCGTTTGGGGCTCAGGGTTTGCTGCGGATCATGGCCAATGCGGCCCATCCATGATGCTCATAGTTTGAAACTCTCACACACGAGTTCATTGCCCCGGACTGCACTACTCCACATCTCCCCCACATGTTTCGGATTAATACATGGTGGAAGTGCAGGATCATCTCTCAAGCTGAGCACCGCAAGATGGCAACACACTCGACGAGCACCTCTAGGCCCTAAACCCTAATCCCTAAACCTCAAGAAGCTCAAGGCACCAAGCGCGAGCAGCGCGCTGCGCTTTGCAAGTTCGTCACCGCAGGTGGGGCAGCGGAGCTTCCCCGGAGTGTCGGGGATAGACCTGAACTCCGGTCCCGGATATCCTTTAAAAGCCTTTAGGGGTTTAGGGGTGTAGGGCGTAGGGCTTTAGGGGTCTAGGGTTCAGGGGTGTAGGGTTTAGGGGTCTAGGGTTAGGGGTTTAGGGTTTGGAGGTCTAACATTTACTTGGAGGGGCGGGGGACTTAGTAAGTAGGTCATAAGTAGAGTTATAAGTACCCCAAAGTGAGTTACCCCAATTGTAACCCTACTTTAAAACGACTTACTAAGTCCCCTGCCCCTCCAAGTAGGGGTTTAGGGGTGTAGGGTTTAGGTTTTAGGGGGTCTAGGGTTTCGGGGTCTAGGGTTTAGGAGTTTAGGGGTTTAGGTTTGGACCTCCACTGCGGTCGGATGTCCTTAAAGAGCCGCCTTGAGACGATACGATACCCTCCTAGAATCATAATGACAATACTACTTTAAAATATTCTCTTGGGGTTTATATGCAGAAAAACGGTAAAATAATGCCTAAGGATATTATAGAAGATTTAGAAAAGGGCTTCCAATTATGTTATACGATTCTTGTAATAATACAGGAATCATCGTGCCAATTCTTCGACAAAGTGTATAATGACAGCAAGTTCTGATGTCCGCATAAGATCTTTCACACTTGCAAAAGGATCGCGAGCGATATCACCAGATCATCTTCCAAAGTGCTGAGCTCTCGAAAATACTGCAGGACATCACTACCTGTACCTTGTTAAATCTTCACTATATCCTTGATCTCTATCTGAAGGCATGTAATGTTCGACAACCAAAGAGCTAAATATTCATTGCAATCTAGAAAACCTCAGCGAATAGGCGAATAGCTACTTTACGTAAAACTAAAGAAGCATTTACACATTATAGTATCCTTAAGCAAGGGGGCTCCAAGGGGGGTATATAGCCTAGTGATCCCTAACTCTCCCTAGTACTCCCTAAGGTTCCCCTAAGGATTCCTTATACCCTCCCCCCTTGAACCACCCTCCCTTAAGGATCCTATAACAAGAAGCTCTGGCGCCTCTGGAGTTCCTGCAGCCGCTGCACCAGCTCGCAAGAGAGACCGAGGTCCTTGCCCGGCCGCTCAACCCTTTAAAAGGCTTAAGGGCTCCTTAAAGGGATCTATAGGGTTCCTGAAAGGGATCTATGGGGTTTAGGGTTTAGGGTCTACTTGGAGGGCAGAGGAGTTAGTAAGTAGGTTATAAGTAGAGTTATAAGTACCTTAAACGGAGTTACCCCAATTATAACCTTACTTATAACCAACTTCCTGGCCCTCCAAGCACTGTTCCTGAACCTCAAACCCTAAACCCAAAAATCCTGAGCCCTTAAGCCTAAAGAGACTGAAACCCCAAACCCTAAAAGCCCTAAACCGTAAAACCCTAAGCCCTACAACAATAAAGCCCTGAAGCCTAAAGCCTTAAACACTGGGTCTTCTTGGGCCTCAGAGGCATAGAGGCTTGAGGATGAGGTTCTTTTGGGGGCTGGTGGCACCTCGCTGACTGACTTCCTCCTTGCTGAGGTTTTGGGGCAGTTTGGGGATTGGGATTTATGGGTTTAATTGAGGGGTTTAGGGATTTAGATGATTTATTGATCTTGGGTTTAGGGTCTTTAGCGTTTAGGGTGTGCAGGGTTGGCGAGCAGGCGGGACGAGGAAGGGGGCAGCGGATACGCGGTGCCTGTGCGACATCGGCGGCCGTCTGATGTCGTACTCTGGCCTCCGCATGAAACGCTTCAAAGCAGCTGCTTGCTTCGCAGAAGACCCTTAGATCTTGAGCCAGCTTCACTTCCTTCTCACATGAGTTAAGTCGAACCATGTACTGCGAAGAGGCCAGAATAGAACTGCACATGTGCATGGAATTAGGTAAACAGATGGATGGATGGACGGACGGACGGAAAGATGGGTAGATAGATAGATTGGTAGGTAGGTAAATATATACACCTCAAACCAACATAATTCAACCTCGAGTGCACAAAAACATCTGTTTTCTAGGAGTATCCCACCCTTAAAAAAAGCTAAATCCTGAAAAACTTGAAATCTCAAGAAGCGAACCCTGATCTTTAATTCTCAAACCCGAAACCCGAAACTTCCTAAGCCAACCAAAAAGTCCAGAGCAACCGAGATCAACCCTCATACAGGATCGAAGAAAAAAGAGCCTGACACTTTCAGACACCGCAAATCATCCGAAAGGCCTGAGAGACAAACAAGGAATCTAAAAACCTTCTGCTTTCAGGGATATATTCTTGAACCAAGCTGTCAAAACCGACTAACTTAAAAGGTTCAGGGCTTTACAGGTAGATCCGAGACCCTGCACCCTGAACCTATATAAAGTATGACTTTTGATCAGGGGGCCACAACCTAATATAGGGGCTTGAATAGTGGAATACGGTTTTGGAGAATATTACGCCATAGCTTTCACAATTAAGGAGCCCTCCAAAAATTACACAACAACTATAACAATTATGGACCCCTAAACCCTAAACCCCCAAAAAAGTTGTTGGTAACTCTTTGGTCCGCTACAGTACTTAAAGGATCATGGGAGTTAGTAGCTAGGCTTATAAGTAAGGTGACTAAACTTATTATTACTTATAACCCCAGTTAGGGTACTTATAACCTTACTTACTAAGTCCCCTGATCCTCCAAGTAATACCCTACACCCTAAACCCTATATAGATCCCTTAAAGGAACCTATAGATTCCTTTGAGGAGCCCTTTAAGAACCTCCAAGTAGGCGACGGGAAGGCCTTCGCAGCCAAGGCTGCGCTGGGAGACTGGAGCATCAACTCTAAGATGTCTGCAGGCGCCGCCTGGATTAAAGGGATCTATAGGGTTCCTTAAAGGGATCTATAGGGCTCCTTAAAGGGATCTATAGGGCTCCTTAAAGGGATCTAATTATAGGGTTCTTTAAAGGGATCTTTGGGTTTTTTTAGGGTCTACTGGGACTTAGTAAGGGGTCTTAAATGTCTCCTTAAGGGGATCTATATAGGGTTCCTTAAAGGGATCTTTGGATTTCAGGTTTAGGGTACTACTTGGAGGATCAGGGGACTTAGTAAGTAAGGTTATAAGTACCCTAATTGGGGTTATAAGTCAAAAGTATAGTTGCCTTATTTATAGATCCTGCAAGTAGGGTTCCGGGGCTTTGGGTTTAGGGTTTCGGGGTGTAGGGTTTGGGGTTTGGGGTTTTCAGGATTTTAGGGCTTTGTGTGTTTAGGGATTTAAACGTTCCTTAGGGTTTCGAGGTTAGAGGTTTAGGGTTTGGGGGTTTCGGGTGTGGGGCTTTTGTGATTAGGGTTTAGGCTTGGAGGTTGTATAAGTTTACCCTAAACCCTAAACCCTAAAACCCTGTGGGTTTTGCGGCAGCTCTCTCGCTCCAGGGTCTGATGTAGGATACCTTTTGTGGCGGGGCTTTCGATTTCTTTTTGTCGGGTTGAAGCTTGGTAAAATGGATGGGGGACCAGAGTTTAGGAGCCTCGATTTGTCTTGAAAGAAGGCTTTAGGCTTGTCTGTAATTATGACTTTCGACTTAAACTGTTTCGGACATCCCAAAAATCGGACCCAGCACGTGTGAACATGTCTTAGGCCCACGCCACGACGAACCGAGACAGAGACCGAAGAGCACAAGCCACAGACCTCTAAAACCAACCCGGAACCTCCAGGCGAGTGTCTGGGAATCATCCTAACCCCTAAGCTCTAAATCCCGAAGCGGCTAAACAGCCTTAAAACCCGAAGCCTTGAACCCTACACCCGACACTCTAAACCCTTCCTTGAAACCCCTAAATGATTTTCATAAGGAACATCCCCAAAATAGCATAGGTAATTTTTTTAGGCCTTTAAAGTAAAACCCCTTAAAACCCTAAACCGCTAAGACACCGAATCACCGCCTTCCGCAAGGCTTGCACCAGCGCGGTCGCACCGCTTCGACCCCTCCGTGGCCCCAAAAGTGGCTTAGGGCTTGGTGTTTAAGGTTGAGGGTTTCAGATTTAGGGTTGAGGGTTTCAGATTTAAGGTTGAGGGTTTCAGATTTAGGGTTTAGGGTTTAGGGTTTAGGGTTTAGGGTTTGGGGTTTAGGGTTTCAGGCTAAGGGTTTGGGGTTTAGGGTTTAGGGTTTCAGGCTAAGGGTTTGGGATGTGGGCTGTTTATGGGGCTCAGTCGGAGCGTTTAGGGTTCAGGGTTTTGTGCCGTTCAAGGGTGTGCGGTTTAGAATGCTTCAGAATCCTGAGGCGAATGTACGCAGCGACAATAACTTGAATGAAGTTTTAAGTACAACAGTGCTTTCAAGGTTTTTCAAAGCGGTTCAGCGTATAACCTTACTTACTAAGTCCTGAGCCTTCAAGTAGTAACAAATGAAAGCCTGTTTGGATACAGAGCCAAGACCGGAAGGGCGGCCGCAACAGGCCTAATGTGGGGGCCTTAATAAGTTTAATAGGTTTTGGGGTATACTATACTGTAACTGTAATGAGGAACCCCCAAAATAGTGTACTGACTACCCAGGCCCCCTCATTACTTATGTCCCTGCTTCCCAGAGACTCCAATATCCCTTAATTAAGGAATATTCCTTAAATTGTAGTAGGATCCTTCACATGATTTAAGGTAATTATAGTCCCTAATTAAAGGATATTGGAGTCTCTGGGTTCGTGTGACAATACTGTCACCAGTACTGGCTGCAGCTCCCATCGAAAACCTTCCCAACTTCCCAGAGCCCAGGTCTCAACCCTGAAACCAAAACCTTAAACCCTACACCCTAAACCCTCAAACCTTAAACCATACCCCCAAACCCACAGCTCTTTCCCTAAACCCTACCCCTAAACCCTAAGCCCTACACTCTCAAACCCGAAGCCCCGAAAGGAACTTCCTTATTGATACCGCACAAGGAACCCTTATAGATCCCTTGTCGGGCACCCTTAAGGGTTCCTTACGATTTCCTTTAAGGGCTCCCTTAAAGGGTTCCTTTAGTGAATCATTCAAGGGCTCCCCTTTGGGAATCCTTTAAGGGTCCCTTAAAGGATTCCCTTAAGGGTTCCTTTAAGGGTTCCCTTTTAGGGTTCGTTTTGGGAATCCTTTAAGGGTCCCTTAAAGGATTCCCTTAAGGGTTCCTTTAAGGGTTCCCTTTTAGGGTTCGTTTTGGGAATCCTTTAAGGGTCCCTTAAAGGATTCCCTTAAGGGTTCCTTTAAGGGTTCCCTTTTAGGGTTCGTTTTGGGAATCCTTTAAGGGTCCCTTAAAGGATTCCCTTAAGGGTTCCTTTAAGGGTTCCCTTTTAGGGTTCGTTTTGGGAATCCTTTAAGGGTCCCTTAAAGGATTCCCTTAAGGGTTCCTTTAAGGGTTCCCTTGTAGGGTTCGTTTTGGGAATCCTTTAAGGGTCCCTTAAAGGGTTCCCTTAAAAGGAGCCCTTCCCCCACCCTCCCCGGCCGGATCGCAGCGAGATCTCCACCATCTGGACCAGCCAGGAGCTCGCGACATCGAGCCCACCTAGGGGCCATAGCAATTCTGTTTAAGAAAATAAAGCATATTGCTAGACCAATATAGTATTGGTACAATAGCAATATTAAAATAGTTCGAATACAAAAAATAAGAGTATTTAGAAACTGGAGTTCCTTTGGGAGTTCTTGGAAAGGGTTCTTTAAGAATACTGTAAGGGTCTAAACCTGACATAGGGGCCATAGTAAATGCAAAAAGGGTTCCTGAGAAAGCTCGTTCAAGGGCTGCAAAAGAATCACTTAATTTCTGTAGGGGGTACTATAAGTTAGGGTCTAAAGCAGTAACAGGGGCCTTGCTAAGTAGCATTGGGCTTCGGACAGGGTTTCTGTGCAGGATGTTGTGGGCCTTTATCTGCATTCTAAAGCAAGGCAAGTGGCATGTATAACTGGCAGGTCTTGTGACTCCTTTCATGATGCCCGAAACCCTGCAAGAAGAGTCCTCTGAAGTCCAGTATAGGGTTCAGGGTTTAGGGCTTCCCGGCACAAAGGGTTCGGGCAAGTTTAAGACTTAGGGCTTAGGGCTTTCATTTCCAAGCTGCTCAGCATTGCCAATGGCATGATGAATGGGAGCTGCCGGCATGTCTTGCAGTTTGGGTCCGAACGGGAAACCTAATCCAGAGGACTTCATGGTTAGAACAGGGCTACGGTGAAAGATCAACGGGGCCAGGGTTATTTGCAGGGTCAAGTGGTTGGTGCTTGCTGCGGGGCTTTGCGGGTTTATGAAGCGTTTAGGGCGTGAGTGTGAGGGTTGGAAACCCTTGAAATGTTTTATGCGTCTGAGCTGTCTTCCACGAGTGCTTGGCAACAGACGCTCTAGCAAACCCCTGAATAACAAGCGCACCCTCTCGCATCAGACTCAGCTTAATCAGGAGACTCAAAAAAACCAATAGTATCAAAGATGACAAGAGGGCGGACCTACTTAAAGCATCATGTAACTATACATACAAGTACTTATAACCCCAATTAGGGGACTTATAACCTTACCTACTAAGTCCCCTGATCCTCCAAGTATCAAAGATGACAAGAGGGCGGACCTAGTGCTCAGTCTCCGCCGCATGAACACGTCTGCATCAGGCGAGCTAGAGCAGAAATGGCGGCAAGGATTGCTCAAGGAGCCCACAACTCCCTGAACAATTAAGATATGTAGGGGCCGACGGTTCAAGGTTTAGAGGTTTAGGTGTTTAGGTTTAAGGTCTAGGGTTTAGAGCATACGCCAAGGGTCTTATGGTGTTGCACAAGGCTTTATGTGTTTATAAAGGGCATTGCAGGTTCTGGCAAGGCTTGATGGGGTCCTTCATAAAGGAATACATCTGAAGTCGTAATAGCTCGCAATAGCAATTATATGAAGCCCCCACCCCAACGTTCCTCGATTCATGGTCAGATGAACTGTGCCAAAGCCTTTGGATTGAGCTTAGTAATGAATTCTCTGCCAAGCTAAATCGTAAACCCGAAACGCTACCTAGGCCTCCAGCTACATTCTAATGTACCCTAAATTAAATACCCACTATTAAAAAACCAAAATCATAAAGGCTCTTCTTTAAAGGGCCCGAAAACCCTAAACCCTAACCACTAAACCCCCTAAGCGGTTTTTCAAAGAGTGTGACAAGAATACCGCCCAGGATCCGGCTGGCTGGTGCCGCTGCACCGCATCCCGCAAGGCTTGCAGGGCCTCGCAACTTGCCGATTTAGGGCGTAGGCTTTGAGGTATTTAGGGCTTAGATTTTACCCTTGAGGGTTTAGGGGGATTAAGGCTCAGGGCTTAAAGTTTAAGGCTGAAGGTCTAGAGCTTAGGGATTCATAAGGCTGTTTAAGGCTTAGGGCTTGGAGTCTAAGGGTTTGAGCTCCTTCTCCCCATCCCTTGCGGTCTGCGAAGAGGCTGCAAAGCCAGGACGGCAGGGCACTTGGAGTCTAAGGTTTACAGCGTGGGGATCTAAGGTCTAAGGCTTGACATTCAAGGTTTAGGATTTAAGGTTTACAGCAAACTCCAAAAAGTTGGAAACCGAACTAAGGACAAATGGTGCTGGGATTCCCTATACTTTACTCTTAGGGATTGAGGCTGTCGGGTTTCCAACTTTTTGGCTTCTACTGTAAGGGGGTAGGGTTGCCCAGGCCTTCGAAACCACGATAAAATTACGAGGCAGGTGAACCCGACAGCTTAGGGTGAAGGGTGTAAGTGTTAAGGTTCAAGGTTTCTGGAAGCCCTAAACCCTGCCCGGACCTAGAACGCCAATTACCCATAATTCTAGTCTACGCTCCCCTAATTTCCTACCACTTTGGGTTAAATTAGCCCATTACTTTGGGCTAATGCGCTGTCTAGGTTCTCCTTTAATGCCCCAAAGTCCGAAACAAAGGCTACTCCGTGATCGGAGGAGGCAGGCCGGAGCCTTTTCACAGGCAAGAGGATTTGTGGGCTTACCTTCCTAACCCTAAACCAAAAAAACCCGCCTTTGTATTCCTGGTCCTTATAATCAGGATCCTACTATTGACAGTGCTAAATTATTAGGGTCTCCTATTTTCGGAAACTCCCATTTATAGAAGCCAGGAAAAGGAACCCTAAGAAAGCTGGGTTCCCTGATCCCCTAAAGCCCCCAAGCCCTAAACCCTAAACCTCTAACGCAAAAAACCGACACCAAAATCCTAAGCCCTTCTCGGTAATATAAATGTCTTAATAATTACTAATACTATTGCGGGGGTTCCTTATTAAAGTATGGTATACTGGGCCCCAAAACCCTATTCTAACTTCTTGAGGCCCCTATATAATTACTTCCCGAGTCCAAAAATCCAGGCTGCCACCTCTTCGGGCAAGGCAGCAGAACGGCGGACAAAACTCCGCATGACATGGCGAAAGCTTCCTAGGATTCCATGCTTAGCGATTTAGGGTTTAGAGTTGCTAACCGGTTTCCCTGAAGAATTCTTTAAAAGGTTCCTCAACAGGTTCCACAAGGGTATCAATAATCATGGGACTTAGCAACTAGGGACTAGGGCTATGAAAAAGGCGACTATACTGATGTGTTTTGTGTGCCCATTCTTTGGTACGTTTAACCTTACTTGCTGTTTGCGCCTGCTGATCAGAGCCAGCGCCGCGTCCCGTTGCAACTCTGATGAGCTGTAACACACCTTAAGGGTCCAAGTACCTAATAATCATATACCCTCCCAAATAGTAACCTACATAACTACTATCCGAAACCTAAGTACCTCATTATTGGGTCCTTTGGACCCTTAGGGAAAGGGCCTTGTAGTGATTAGAATCGGGTTGTGGGGTATATTATAGTTCTAGTCTTCTTAGTATAGCTAGAACCATAATTAGGAACCCTAAGGCTGTTGTCAATTCCCAAGCCCCTTTCCGTATAGACACTGAGCAAAGAACGGAGACTTTAGGCCATGCAAAAAGAAACGTAGTCATGGAGGTGGGGTCGCAAGATCAAGCACGCATGCCGATAATTCGATGATCATAGAGCAATACGAATACAAACTCATCCATAACCATCTCTCTCCATGTCTGAACCCCAGATCCTGAACTGCATGGAACTCTACTTCGAGGATCCGGGGGCGTAGCAAGTAAGATCATGCATAGCTCCAGCTATTGGTTTATAGTTGAAAGTATAGATGCCTGATCTTTAATCCCAGTTGCTATATAAGTCCCATGATCCTTTCAGAAGGCAGGGCAGCAGGGGGGGCCGCAAGAGGATGAACCTGGAAGTTGTCGATCGCCACCTCCTTCTCGTGCCTGGGAGTTTCCGAAAAAATGGGCGACCCTAATATAGTACCCTAAACAGTAGGATCCGTATGATCAGGACCCCCAAATAAGGTAACCCCAATTAGCGAAAACTCCCTTATATACCTATGCAGTGAATCACCATGAAGTCCGACTGGCGATCTGGTAAAGAGCATACTTCGCATCTTTGATCCGTTGGAGCCTAAGACAGGAAACGAGCCCACCTGCACATCCACAGTGGTTTATTTCGGTTGCCATCGTATGTCTTCCTTGAACAGATTTCCGCACCATCACCGGTTTCTCGTCTGTTGCCTTTTCTTCCCAAGCCTCGGGCCAGAACCTTTCTGCTTGGCATTCTGAGACTCTGAAAACCCTAAACCCCAAAACCCTGAACCCCAAAACCCCAAAACCCTAAACCTTGGTGCCGCTGAGTCCCTGGCATCAGACCCACGATGGGCATCGTCCGGTAGCGTAGATGCAGTCGAACCTACCGAGCTTCAAAGGGGAAAAGGAGGGACCCTTCATGGGGACCCCTACCCTATAATGGGCTATATAATGGGTATATACTAGCTATCTTAAGGGTATGTACCTTATTAAGGGTCCCTCCTTTTACCCTTGGAGAGCTGTGCAGTAGAAACCATGGAGGGATACTTAAAGCGTCCTTGATGGGAGGCCAAAAGGGGGGGGTTTAAGATTCTTGGGGTAGGGATTCCTTAATATGAGCCCTATTATGGGAACCCTTTGCCATGACCCGAATCTGGCACTTACAACCATACTAACAGAGTCCCATGATCCTCCCAGGAAGACTTTCGCGAACGTTCCGGCGACTGCTCACCCCGAAACCCCAAGCCATAAACCCTAAAGCCCAAACCCTAAGCCCAAAGCCCTAAACCTTAAACCGTACAGGCCCTACATGGAAAGCTCCAGGTTCATCAGCCCCTGGCCTTGTGGCTGCGCAGCTCTTTGTGCTGGTCTTTCAGGGGATACTCTATCATCGCACTCCTGGCCAGAGGACATTTTTTTAATCAGAATCCTAAACCCTAAACCTTAACCCCTAAACCCTGAACCCTACTTGTCCAGTGTCCCATAAAACTGAAGGCTAACCCTTCGGATTATATTGGGGTTCTACTACCCAGAAAAGGTTGAAGGTTCCCTACTCGACTACTAGGTAATGGGATCCCTATATGGGAGTTTCCGAAAATAAGGGACCCTAATATAGTACCCCAAATAGTAGGATCCTTA